AAAATTTTTGGGAGGTGTCCCTTTTAAAGCCATTGCTACGGATTGCTTTAAAATGATAGGGCATGAAAAATAGACAAATAATTAAAACCATGTACAAACTTTCTTTTATGAAGGAACACGCGAAAATAACGAGTGATTTCCGAATGACAACTGAAGGCCGGTGACAACTTTGGACAGATAACGTTAGCAAGCTTCAGATTCTGTAATCTAAACGAAATCGGACACAAATTTTATGCTGTCAAAAACAAGGTATCGGATACATCACTGTGTAAAGAACAGGGAAAATAGTAACTAAGCAATGAAATTCAAGGTCGGAATTCACAGTGAAACAGATTGCACAGGTGTCAGATTAAAAAGTATACTAAACGGCGATTCCTAGCCATGATTCTTCAAGATGGGCAGAAGAAGTGATGATTTTCTGAGATTAATTAAATTTTCACTGTATAACAGTCTTTGCCCTGAATTAGATATTCTCGGTAGAATGCTTTATGCATATTCCACTTTTAAACACTAAAACATTGCCTAGATTCTTACAAAAATGAGTGATTTGGAAATACGTATCAATTAATTCTTTTTCTGGCATCAAATTTGATCTCTGCGTCAATTGAATTAAACATTTTTTCCTAAATGACATCACAAGGATAAAATGGACATATTAATGGTCCAAAAGGTATCGATATCAATTTTATAGGATAGTTTCGTTGCCTGTTTGTTTGTTTATATAACGCGTCCCTTTCGAAAAAAAAAATCACTCATATTGAGACGCCATCATTTGCTGGAGCAGGGGTGCAAATTTGGACCTATTCTAAGCACTCAAGGCCATTGAGCAGTGAGGGATGTTTTTAATGCCAGCATATACTGCAACTCTGGACTTCGGTTTATGCGGTCTCATCCTAAAGACCGGTCTCCATGTCCTGCAGTTGGATTTGAACCCGCGACGTAAGGCCACGCTTGTGACTTTAGAATAGGTTATCTAGTATATTTAATTTACTGCGCCTGCAATCACATCAAAGTTCCGACTCCCATAGCGCTTATTAACTCTGATTTCTGGCGTTGAGCAGTGGTGGATAGAGAGTTTTAGAGTGTTTGCTTTAGAGTCGAGGGGTAAGAAGCTGATTCTTACCTCGCAGGTTCGAATCCGGCTGAGGGACGTTGAGACTGGTCTTTTGGATGAGACCGTATAAACCGAGGTCCTGTATAGGAGTAAGTGCTGGGACGGAAAAGATCCCTTACTGCTCAATGGCCTTGCGTAAATATATACATTTTATGGTTAAAGAAAACATGGAGCAAGGATCCGATAAACCTGAAAACACTTTTACGAAAAAAAACGTTGGTATCTCTCCTCGAAATACTTCAAGTCCATTTAGTCAATGTTCATATCACAAACATGACTTAAATGTCATTATTCATCCAGAATTGTAAAGCGTGTTAACGTTAGTCTAAAAAGATATTAATACTCAGGATTTTTATTGCCAGGGTTTGAACCCCAGGAATACGACTTTATCTTTTTTAATGCTGGTTATAGAATAGTTTTTTTTTTTTTTAAGTGAAAAAGTTTTGTTTGTCATAATTTCATAAATTTCAATTATGAGAACTTTACTCTTAATATTTAATTCACAAATTTGATATGATTTTTAAGTATATAATGCCATAGCATTCTGCACGCCTTCTTCGCCCATTTCCTTTATATAGAAAACCTTCATAAAGAGAAATTTCCTATAATTCAAGTGTTTAAAGTGTTTAAATTAAAGGTTCATGTGTTTGACTTATTCGTAAAAATTAAGACTACTCTTATTGATATATTTTAATACAAAATTATATAATGTATCAATTCAAAGCAAATTTTGCGCTCTTATGTGTGTTAATTGCAAGCAAAATCTTTAAATTTTTCTCCGAAAAAAAAAATAAAAATAAAAAAAAAATCCAGATAAAAAAGGGAAGACAATCGAATACAGAATTGCCAAATTGTAAATCGCAAAATGAGTATATTTCGATGATTATCTGAAAACATTCAGTAACAAAAGTACTAGTGTACGTCACAAGCATAAATGCTAAGACGATCATACATCTGTAACCCAGGTGTGCCATTGACTTGAACTTTGTCGGAGGGACTGATGTTCATACATGAGTAAGGATAAATAATTTATCTTAATTCTCTCTCTTAAAATAAAATACCGGATAAAAAGCAAGAATGATATCTCAATGTAATGTTTGTTTCAGAAAAGTCACGTGACTTGTTTTTCACTATACAAACGGGGACCCGTGTGTAACCCCCAATTACAATCTTCGGTAATTGTGAAAAGTTCACACTCACACACATGTTTTAATCCTAACTAACCGGGGACATTTTTTCAACATGTTGAAAAACGGATCTTTTCGGCTTTTTGGGGTAATTAGACATCCCTGATTTCGAATTTGGCGCTATTTTTAATCAAAGACAACCGGGGACGTCCCCGGTTGGGAGGTTGTCCCCGGTTGGAAGGTGTGTAAACAAACAATTGTCCCCGTTTGACACCTTTCACGCACGCACACACACACACACACACACACACACACACACACACACACACACACACACACACACATATATATATATATATATATATATATATATATATATATATATATATATATATATATACTCAACTCTGTCATTTCTTAAAATATTTTTTTGTAAATTGTATAAAAGATTATATAAAGACATATCTGTAGTCTAGACGTAATTATCCATTGTATACATATAATATTATAAACTTGTACAAAGCCAATTAATTTGGTGGAGGAATATTGATTGTCGCACTTTGGACGTATGGTACTGAAGCTCATCAACAAGTCAGGAGTCCTTTACAAGGTGGAATTGCTGTTCTAGTTCGTACAACTATCCATTTAAATTCTTGGGAATCAATGACCTGATGAAAAGAAAATTATGTGCTAAATATCATGAAGAATACATGACTGTGTGTTCAGACTTTTCCATGCATTTTCTAAATCGAAGCAGGATTTGTCTTTAATTTGCCATCAATGGAATGAACTCAGTAAGATTTTTTGGCTATAGATACAGAATCAATCAGGAAAGCGGAATATCTTTATGTTGATTTGCTCAAAACATGACATTTTATATATACGGATCTTTGTTCAGTCTGTGTGAGATGAAAATTAAGAGCTCTGATAGACATAAGAGGTAGACATACTCACGATTAACTTTTCAACTTGGATTCTGACTTTTCTCACTTTTGAGTTAACTGTGATAAATACATGTACAAACCAATTACCATTGAGTTTTCTTGACAAATACCTAAATATTACAAATTGAGATGTCAAAGTGCGTCTGCTCTTCTTCCTTTTTTAAAACGAAAAAAAAATGTACCTAGGATTCAACTAAAATACGAGAACATAAAAAGTCGGGGAAATGCTAACAACTCGATAACCCCAAATATGGGCATCTCTATGGGGATTAGACCTTAAAAACCGAGGCCCCGTATCACAATAGGCGTTGGCACGATAAAGAACCCTCACTGCCCAATGGCCCCGAGTAAAGGTCTAAATTCGAAGCCCTTCACCGGTATATGGTGACGTCTCTAAATGAGTGAAAAATTCTCCAAAGGGACGTAACACAACATACAATCAATCAATCAATTAATCAATTATTGACAACGAAATAGTAAAGTATTTATATATACTGTATATATACATGTAAATAACAGAATTGTCAGAATGATAATGAGTCAGATTTGGAAACTGTATACGTCAAATTTTACGAAAAAATAAGTAATCGACCTGTTTTTCGTCAAAAAAAAATATTTTAGAATCCTACTTCCGTTTAAGCATTTAAAATCTTAATCTTATATAAGGACCATAAAATTGATTTCGTTAAAAACCTACTCAAATTCAGAATCATTTCACTCTTGAAAATATTGAAGTGTACAGGAATTCAAAATACCCGTCCTGATTTCAACCATTGTTTGCATCAAGAAAACAATCAAAAACACTTTAAGTGTAAAGAATAATTTATTGTACAGTTTTTCAAAGAATATAACTATTAGGTACACTTTTTAAATTCTTAATACATGGTAAGTAAAATAACTCTTCAAAAATGTGAAACAATTGAAAGTAAAAATGTAGAATTTATAGAATTTTTTCCCCCGTTTTTTACCTACCAATATCTTAAAATTAAAAGATTTCCTTGTTTCACAAATTTTGCTATATACATAATAACAAATTTAACATTATAAAACATTTTAACTTGAAGTATAAATAGAGAACAATAAAAAGAAAACCTGATAGAATAAACCATTGCGTGTTCTTAAATGTAGTAAAATGAGATTCTTCAGTGGAATACAAAAAAATCAAAATGATTTTTTAAAAAGTTTATGACAATTTATGTATTTCTTTTACGTATGTGGTCTAAAAAGATAAATTTGTTTTCAAATTAAACTTTTTGATAATCATACAAACATATCTTTAAAAAAAACATAAATATTTGCTTGTTTAGCGAATATTCAACTTTTCCTCGTCTTGAACGAAGAAAATAGTAAAACACCTCATCACAAATGTTTTCATTATCTCACATGATTTTCTCTAACGTTTTTCAAAATGTTTAGACAGCCTTTTGAAAAAATGAAAACAGGTTAGTTGATTTGATGTTGGAATTGATGGCACAAGTCCCTTTTGAGCATTATCTGTTTACCTCTATCCTCTAACCTTGAACCAAAGAACAATCTATAATTTTTCATTTCGCTTTAAGCAAACTTTCAATATTTATAAAAAGCATTAACATTTTTAAGTTTCCATCTTAAAAATGTTTATTTTACAATGAAATATGAAGATTTTTCTAAATATACAAACAATAGAGATTTGAAAATAATGATTTGCAATCACTTGAATTCAGCAGAAAAAGTACTCTGATTTACTTCAGTAAACACTTTTAAAACTATCGTTAACTTAAGTAAATCTACTATACTAAACCATATTTAAGATAATATTTTTATTAGGGAGTAACGTACATCATAATAAAACGTCTTGGCTCGTACAGAGTGTCCAATTTGAAAAGAAATACTCAGATTTAGATGCTGATGGAATTTAGGACTTTGTCCGGATTGAGCCAAGTGTAGGTGTAATCTTGGACTTTACAATCGGGTTTGGCATTCTCCTGTCTGATACGTTCATTTCTCTTATCGATGTCCTCCGATATTGTTTTTAGTACCTTCTGGAACCTTAAATGATAATTGAATAGTTGGAACTTAGTAACTTTATTTGAAAAAAATTCTCATATCAATTTACTTTTATTAGCTTTACAAGCTAGGTAAAAAGTACATGTAGTTTAAATTGACCCTTTTAAGGAACATTAAACAGTTAAAGAATTGCTGTTAAAACTGGCACAATATACTGTATTTGAGTGGATACTATAATAACAATATAATGGATCGACGAATCATGAACTATTTGACAAAAATCTACATAATAATATTCTTAATTACTAGTATTAAGCAGATATATTTTTTTCGAGAATCAAAAAGTAAACTGTCTCTCCTGTTTTCTTTTTCTGCATGAAAGATAACTGCTGCAATTTTCAGAAAAAAGGAATATATAACTAGGAGGCAACATTACATGCTTGGTGAAAGCCATCTTCGCTAGTCAAGGGTTTCTGATACGCTACTCCCCTCATCAACCCTTGGCATACGGTGCTGACAAAAGACGGGATTGTTTTCGTCACATGATCACAATTCTTACCAGGTACGCACAGATTGCGTCATCGACAGAAATAAAAAGCGTATTTAAAAAGATAATGTTTTTAAAGAATAATTAACAGGAAGGTATTGAGTTATGTTAATTTGTTATTTAAACATGTTAAAATGCAAATCTAGATCTTCAGTTTTGATTCTTAATCACATATTTTGCACGTAGCTTAAGATATTGGATGACACCATATAGCTATTCATAGAATGGCATGTTATCTTACGGATCGTTGTTTACTTGCGTTTTTCATTCCCGATAATAAAGAGTCAAGATATATCCCGAACGCAAATATCGTCATTTACAAAAAAACAATTGCTGATTGGTCGAACGATGTCGATCAACTCCAATCACAACTTGAGAAAAAAATCCCAACTTTTTTTAACACCGTATGCCAAGGGCTTATGAGGAGAGTAGCGTATCAGAAACCCTTGGCTAGCGAAGATTGGTGAAAGCAGATACTCTAAAAAAACTGATAAATATAATTTTCTCTAAGATGGATTTCTTCTCAAGACGAATAAACGTGTACAAAAACAAAATTAACTGCAAAAAATGCCTTTCTTTCATCGTTATGCACTAAAGTAGGTAAGATTCCTGCCTTTAAAATTCAATTTATTTTAACATTTAGCTTTCACATTTATTAAAAGACGCTTGAAAAAAAACCACACACACACAATAAATATCACACTTTTGTACAAAACTCTCGTCTAGCATTGTCCATTTTAATAATAACCGAATTTCTTGACTTTTCAATCATTATACATGTAAGAAAATCACTCTATTAAGTGTCTAAAATTTCAACAGATTCAAAATTTTTTTTTAGTTTTAGTATTACGGGGACATACTAGACACACAAAAAAGCATACAAGATGTACATACCTTTTAACAGCTTCTCTTCCTTTCGTGTCCATTGCCTGCATGTATTCTTTTTCGTACTGCCCTAGATTGTTTGTCAAGACAGTTGTAAGAACTTTCATGATTTTAACAGTTGAAAAAAATTCCCTTTTTGTAGGCAAAGCAGCATTTAGTTCGTTAGATCCCTACAACAAAAAATAATAAAATGCTTTAAAAAACTAAAATCATACAAGTAAAATCGAGAAGGTTAAAGAAGTGATATCTTATATAATTTTTTTTTCAAAGTTTTCAGAAGATTGGTATTTACAAATTGTTCCTCTGGAAATCCATTTAATTTTGCAGCATAGTTTGGTGCAAACCCATACTGATCATACTGTGGGAAATTTGTCGCAGAATGTTCAACACTGCATATAAAGATGAAACTGGACAAGGTAGCAGAAAGGTTTTCAATAGAGTCAAAATCAGGAACACCCTTAAATTATAAAAACAAATGATTTTGTTGAATTTACATAAAAGTAGATTTTGTTGATTGAATTACTGCAAAGGTATGTAACATTCATGTGAGTGATAAACTATGACCATCACGGGTTCATGACATTGCTAGACACGAATAGCTCAAGCAGGGGTTGTTGTTCTTTGCACCTTTTTTTGAAGAAATGATCGATTGTAGAAAAAATATGTTTCTTTTTTTAATTCTTTTCCTCAACAAATTTTAGAAAGTTTTCAAAACGTGCATTTCTCTTATTTTTGTAAAATTAGTAAAAGATTTTGCAAAAGCCTATGCCATTGCATGAAAGTGGAAATGACCCAAATATTTTCCAATTGATTATTTTTCACAGAAAAGTAAAAAAAAAAAGCTTATGTCATTTATACAAATATAGATATATATTTTCAAAGATAGATCTGAAGAACTTTTATACACCTACATCTCTAGCTCGATATAGTTTTGTTTTATATGTGTACGTCAAATATAAATATTACCTGCATACCACACCCTCTATTTCCTTCTAATGATCTTGGGGATATCAGTTGTTCTCTGAATGCCTGTATTTCCTTGTCAGTTTTTAGTGCATCGTCATTAACTTAATAAAAATAGATGTTATTAATTGCTATCAATCGTAAATGATAAAAGAAAACATTTATAACAGGACCTATACTTCTTGCTGAGAATTATGCACAAAAATATTAATTAATATCTATTGATAAATTGCCAAATTTACAGCATGTAGCAATGTATTTGATATCAAAATATATTAAGAGAAATATTATACAATTATGGACTCTTTCGGTGGTGAATATGGTTTGTTATTCACCAGAAAAATATCAATATTGACCGAGGCGAAGCCGAGGTCAATATTGATATTTTTCTGGTGAATAACAAACCATATTCACCACCGAAAGAGTCCATAATTGTTTTATTACATAGTCCGGATTTGAATAAATAAGACATTGAAGGCTGCATGATGATACCACTTTCATTTACGAACTTCTGTCGTGGAAAAATAAAAAAAAAATGTCCAGATTACAAGTTATAGCTTCCGTGTTTTCCTTTTGCTGTTTGTAACTGTGTAAGGCATCGTAATGTTTAGAAAATAATCCTGCGATAGGTTTGGCTAATGTTTTTCCTGCTCAGATACACAGCTGGCTGCGGCCGTTGCAACCATTGTTTACAACTTTGTTTGAGGTGTTGATTGTGACGTCACAATGCCTCTGCACGCGCACCGACCCTCCGGTGAATACGGCTTCAAAACCAGTGAATATATAGAGAATAATACATGGCAAAATCTGTATCACACCCCATATCAACCCGAGACTCCAATATCAGCCCGAGGGCCGAAGGCCAGAGGGCTGATATTGGTCGAGGGTTGATATGGAGTGTGATACAGATTTTGCCATGTATTGTTGTTTTTATTATATATTTGAAAATAGTGTCAAAAAATCATATATAAATCTGTAAATTAATTAATTCTTAATAATTGAATATGTTCCTTTTTTCGTTAAATTTCCTTTCTCATTATTTTTTTTCCAAAGGCAATGCATACAGCGATAAGAAATGAAATAATTATAAATTAAACAATTATTTTGAATAGCATAAAATATCTGATGAAAATTTACAATTTAAATAAACTTCATAAACAATTAATAGAAAAAAGATCCGAGATACTCCGAATGAAAAATACAGAGATGTTCCGGAATGGTGTAATAAAGGGTGTGATAAAGGGTAAAATAAAGGGTGCTGATACAGGGTGTGTAATACAGGGCACGTGCTTGTGTTCATATCAGGGATGCAAAAATCCTGTATTATTGAACAAATATATAATAAGTAGTGTTATGAACTGTTTGCGTTTGTATAGATTATATAGGGACTATAAATAGACTATTTAATAAAATCAATTATGGCGTTTCGTTGATTCTTATGACCTGTACTTTGTAGATGTCTCAGATGATAATCATAATTATACCTTTATATTTCTCGGTATGTAAACTAAGGCTATGTTCTTTCTGAATTTAAAACAGGGAAATACAAAGATTGCAGAAAAATCGAAAGTATAATAGCAATGATATTGATTGTACTCCTTATGTTTGTATCGTGTCGACTTAGTGTATAATATTATAATATCAAAATATTCTGATCATGCAGAGAAGATTGCACAATCAAATAAATCAACTTGCATAGATAAAGCATACTTGTGTCAGAGGGAAATTAGGAATTGGTAGCTATTGTGCAAGTTTCAAACATCTCAGCAAGGTAGATAGATTTTAATTTCAGTGAACGAAGCTTTTAATTTTGTTTTTAATTTTGGCATTAACACATTATTCACAAGGCTGTAAACATGATACGAATGGTAAGAATACAAGCAATCAACACTTTTGATACCAAATGCCTTTTTTCTACATGGAGTCTTGATCAGTGTGCCTTATACCCATCAAAGTATGAAATTATCTTGGGACACTCTTTGCTGTTGTTCACAAGCCTTGACTGTTCCTTAAATAATTTGCCCATAGTGACCACACACTACCCCCGGGAGACATACTTTGAACAAACTCCAGCGTCTCGCTGGAGGGAAGGAAGAAGAAAGAATTAATTAAGTTTTAGAATCAGCAGGGAGATCTAATAAGTGATGCATCCTTTTTTTAGAACATTTTATAGTGCCGTGACCGTATGAATTTTGACTTTCCAAATATATGATAAAATGACGTTAAACTTAAGAAAGCAGTAATAATTCGAGAAGTCAAATTGTTTTTCTCTAATTTACTGAATTCTATGTAAATTCAATATTGTATTTCATATCTTAAGAAAAAAAATTGTAGTTATGATTTGATTTATTTGAGAATTCTTTAATTTCAAGAATGATAAGAGGTGCTAGTAAATATTAGAGTGCTTAAATTTAAATACATATAATAATAACAAAATGGAAAATTTATACAGTTTTTTTCGTGCAAAGGACAAGGTATGGTAACGACCGAATCTGGCACCTTATTTGATGTAAAAATCAGAACATAGTTAAAATTGTGATAGTTTGTAGTTAAGAACTTAACGAGGCCCAGTCTAGTTGGAATTACGAAAACGGACCGGAAAATATTTTTTGAATTTTTGATATATATTTGTAAGTACCATACTAAGAAAAATTAAATTAAATTTTTGTTACGTTGTCTTGATTGTAGTGGAATGGGGGTATTTCAAAATATGGATATTTTTTCGTGGTTTAACACACAATTATATGCTAAAACAACGGAATTGATAAATTAAAGAAAAAATGAATGGTGAAATGTTTTGCTTTTCACATATATTATGCAATATCCATTCCTCTAGAAAATGAAAAGAAAAGTGGGGGTAGCCTATATTATAGTGAAAAGGGGACAAATCAAAACACAAAATAGGACTTTAAATTATATCTAAGATACTTTATAAGTCGATCGCAGTAGGTTTACCTAATGTCAAGAAATGATCGTTGTATTGTATGTGTGTCACAAAATTAAATGTTCCTTATATTATGAAAGAATTTTCTCTCCAATCGTTATTTTGTCTAACACAAAACGTTGTTTTATGTGAAAAAAGAAGAAGAAGGGGGCGGGGGTTTAAAAAGGCAATAAAATTACAAAGTTTGTTAATATGTAGGAAACAGAAGTATTTCTTCTTGGTTGCATTTAAATGACTCGTAGAATTTTTTTTAAGTCAATCTACTGCACATATAGTTAAGTTATCAACAAAATTAAAAAATAAACATTTTCAAGGAGAAAGACTACATGTGTTTACTTCAGGTTGCATTTTTTTAACTCAAAAATTAAAACAAAATAAGATAAAACATAATTATCTACTTAGAAATTCTATATCTCAAAATAAATTAAGTTACAAAGTTATTTATTAAAACACAAGAATTGACAGAAATGCTAGAATGAGTGAGCTTTCAACACGCACAGTCAAGACTTACAGCTGTACCAGGAATGCAAGAATAGCGAAATATTCTAGCGCAATTTGACGTCATTTTAACTGTGACGTTATTGTATTTAATTGTGACAGCAATCAAGGATAGTGTGACGCGTCTGAAACAACGCTGCGTGAAAACGTATGCGCAAACCAAGTAGATTAGGCCTCGTCAAAATGATGTTTGTTTTGAAACCAGCACTAATTTTGATTCAAAGCTTACACGGAGGCAGGGTGCAGAAGTAGGACATTTTCCCGAATTTCCTCAATTCTGGTCGAATTTCGTCAAATTAGAGATACTTTTCACTTCGAGAAACATAGAGCACAAGCTTGCCTATCTCAGATATATATATATATATATATATATATATATATATATATATATATATATATATATATATATATATATATATATATGTAGGATCTCCCATGATTTGTAGTTGGATATGATTTTTATTCAACGAGTTGTGTGTTTTTTTATCCCCGAGCCTTGGCGAGGGGATAAAAACACACAACGAGTTGGATAAAAGTCATATCCAACTACAAATCATGGGAGATTCTTTTTATCCCATGTTTAATACTTCACAACCAATGTTTTACACTGTTTTATATAGGACTCCACTTTATTTTACTTCATCGCGCTAACGCAAAAACCATTGTGACGTCACAACTGAGGATTATGAAAAAATTATCCAGTGAATCATATCCACGGGATAAAGGGGTAAACATGGGATAAATATATATATATATTGAGGTCCGTGTTTGATCTGCTCCAAGTTTTTATTGTTTCATTGGACTTTCGAGATTGAATACTGTTCGTTATCTTCATATTTCATACATAAGATGCATCTGATGCTAGTGTATGAAATATATAAATTTGTTAGATAGGCATGCTTGTGCTCTATGTTTTTCTGAACCAAAATGTACTTTGAAATCAATAAAAATATGTATACAATGAGAAAATTCGGAAATTAACATATTTTCTTACCTTCCTGTGACCTCTGTGTATCCAATAACGTAAAACCAATACTCATTTTGTGGCAGGGGTTACAGCAGGTTTTTAATTGATAAACTATTGCATCATTCTAAAGACGCCCCAAACCAGGGGCCAAAAAGGGGTATTAACCTATCTTGTCCTTTGGATTGGGTATTTAACCGTGAGATAGAATTAGCCATACCATAGTATAGTTTCATATAATCAGCTACATAATTTCGAATTGCACCATGAATTTTCGACGCATCATCTCGGAAGTAGTATCCAGGAAGATTCTGTATATGTAAATAATATAGATTTTTTTAAATATCAATTTTTGAATATAAAATAACAATTAAAACAAACTACAGAAAAACACATATTTACATAAATAATGATTTGATTTAGAAATTAAAGTAGTAGTTGTATTTACCGAAATCGTTTATATTACTTTTAGGAAAGTTAAATCTAAAATGTCATGATAAAACTCACATACAAAAAAGCGCAAAGATAGGAAAACAAAAACACTTTCTTTTTAACAAATTCAGTTTTAACGACTTGCATGGACAAATTAAAAACAACAACTAGGAAACAAGTTCTGAAATAAAATTTGAAAAACCTGCACTCCTCTGCTTTCCAAGTCCCATTCTAAAGAACCTTGCTTGTTAAGATGCCATGATTCGTTGCTTAACAAAGACATAATTAAATTTCATTCATTATTCCTCAATCAATGCGCAGTCAAGATTCATCTTAGTTCATAATGCATGGGGTAAAAAAAAGAAAACATTTTCCTTAACTTTTTTTACAGGTTTTATTGCATAATATTTTGCATAAAACGTTAGCTTTCTTTGGCATTTTGCATTCCTTTCTTGAAATGTTTACCTTGACATGAACGCGTTTTAATTTCATGTACAAAGTATACATTAACGTGTGCAGTTCTAGAAAGAAAGACTCTTACTGTCTTCCAATCAAATTGAGCATATATTTCCTTCCATAGGACATGTCTTTATCAACAAACCCATCCTTGGTCAGCAGAGTTATAGTAGCAAGACTGAAATAGAATTTTTGTTATTAAGATAATAATGCTGACGTATTTCAGAAATGAATTTAATTTTTGAGAATTCATGAGCACATGAACTACGACGCTTCACGCCTACATATTTCATGAAGCGCTTTAGTTTTTTTTAGCTCGGAGATTATAACTGTATTATGTACTCATGGTCGCAACGTCATCACTTTTGGCTATAATTCATGCAATTTTTGCTTTGTGATCGCAAATTTTGTGACCGAAACCTTGGATAATTCAGCCTAGAGTCTAATGTCGAAATAGCCCGATATTGTGCACTAAGTTTAGGCACGTTATTGGTAAAAGGACTAACTGTTTATTTCAGCTCGAAATCCTGACCTACGAATGTCCAAATTCAGAAGAGTTTTCCTTTCAAATCGATGATGATGCACAATTCAATCCACCAACTATTAGTTAGTAGTTACCATTTGTTAAATCCCTGCATTTTTCAGAGAAATTTCGCAATTTTAGTAGCATTTCACTTTGAGTTTTATCAGCTATTTCTTTATAACGTCAAAACACAAGTGACGCACTTCATGAACATTTATTAGATTACGTCAAAAATAAATCATGTGACCACATTCCTAAACAATGCAAGATGGAGTTTTACTACTAAACCAGTACGTTATTTTACTAAATCTTTGAATTCTCATTTTAAAAAACCATGTTTAAAAAACGGTTTTTTAAACCCAATTTTTTTTTTACAAGGAACACAAATTTTGGCATAATTTTGCAATTTTTGGCCTTTTTATCGATTTTGTCGATCGCGTTAATTATTTTGTACGTTCAGTGAAGTCGACTATTACGGGTTGTCTTAGTTCCTGGTCACTCGTATCTATTTAATGCCATATTGTTAGAACTAAAGTTCAAAAAAGTAAATAAACACACTGGTCATGAAGAATTGGTTTTTCTGTCTGTAATCAATAACAAAAGTTTAAAGAACAGCATTAACACAGCATCCGACAAAATTGCAACGAAGTTGGAGAGGATATATGTAGTACGGAAGCGCGATTTTATCGGTATACTGGTATATCGCGATTTTTTATTGCGTGATACGTATCATGATATGGAGACTAAAATACCGGTATTTGGTACATAACTATAAGTTCCGGATATTATTCTTTATTTGTTCAAACTATTGAATGTTAATTACAGGAAGTATAAAAGATGTTGAAAACAGTTTAACAATGGCATCCAAACACGCTTTATATTAAATAAATAAAATTTTAAAAAGTAAAGTTATGTCTTTATAGCATATGTTTAAGAAATATTATGGAAATTCATTTGAAATTGTAGTAAAATTGTATGTAAAAAATATCACGATTTATCGTGAGATTTTTTGGGGGAAATCGTGATATATCACGATACGCAATTTTTGCCGATACCCATCCCTAATATATAGTAACGCTCGTGAATGTGTGTGTGTGCGTGTGTGTTGGGGGTGGTAGTGGGTGCGTAACAAAAGTTAAGCAAGTAATAATTCATATCAGGATTGACATGCTCTTTTGCGAGGGGGTGCTCAACCTTGCGGTGCCCTTGTTTGGTTACATTAGATTTAAAATCATTGCTTTTATTTTTGGATTGTAGGACTAATCATAGAATGAAAGAAATGACTGGTTTTCAATATTTTGTTTCCGCTATAACGTAGAGCACTGTAGTGTTCACATTTATTTTTATCATGTACATTAAATATGATTTTTTTTTTTACTTTTAAAATCAGTCGACGCTGACAGTTTCTTCTTTGCTTCAATCATTAGAAATTAGACTCTTTAATGTTATTTTTTAGACTACAAAGCATATTGTCATATTAATTTTGACACAAACCAATATTTGATTTTTAAAAGTTTATTGTATAAAATATTATCAAATACTTTTATCAAGAGAATTTGAAGAAATTCTGTGATTATGTGTGCCACAATATCTGTATTAGATCAAGAGTTAAAGTCTTTAAGAAAATGGACTCTCACTATCCTTTTTTTTGTTTAAAAAACTTACTGGTTTATAGCATGCATATGTCGAAAATGAGGAATCATCAGTTTGAAAACAGGATGCCTCTCTGAAACATTCCTGTGAAGGCAAACACTGACCCCATCCATCAGCAAGTGGGTAAAACCTAAACGAAAATAATGATTTTAAATACATCTGATAATTTATCTTAAAAATTAATGTCTTTGTGTACTTTGCATATATATATATATATATAGAGAGAGAGAGAGAGAGAGAGAGAGAGAGAGAGAGAGAGAGAGAGACTCTTTCTTTGTGACTTCTATAGTCCTCTTTTTTTACGTAAAAGTAAAATTTTACTCTGTTACCCAAATGTGAAATAGATTCGTGATATTGAGCGTCCAGCATGTTGAACCACATTTTTGCCTTTACCCATCGTTGGTGACGAGCATGCTCTGCTTTGAAGAGCGGAGGTACAAATATCTGTATACAAAGTTTCAATTCTTATTTATAAGGATTTTCAATTAAAAATATTAAAAGGTTAACTGATTGTAGCTGATATCGTGTTAAAAATAGTTCTACCTTGTCTTCATTTTATAACACCCAAAACGGTTAACATCCAAGTACAAAGCATTTCGTTTTCTATTTTCATGGAGCACCTTTTTGTATGTTTCTGAGATGTTTTTTTTGTAACTATTATTAATTCCTTATTTAATACTTTAAATTGTAAATTTTCCGTAAAGCTGAACATGGTTCGTAAAAGAAAGAGAATTATCTTTGTCCGCCATATTAAATTTTTTTCGCTATATAAGCCTTAGTATTGTACAGAGTTTAAGTTTGTTTCACGGACTATACCTGAACAGAATTCTCCTTCATTTCCATTGTGTTATATTTACATTCAGTGTTGTTTTCTTTATGAAATTCATTGGAAATCTTCAACATTCAATACGCTATAAAACACACTAAACTTTGTCACTGCGTGGTACAATACGCAGTAGGAACTATATGTATATGCATTTTCAATATTCTACGAACACCAGAAGAAGTATTGTTTAACTTTTGACTTAATTTAATTAAAAACAATTACACTGTTAAATTATGGTAAATATACAATAATTGTGCGTTTAAATCTAATTTGTCATTTTTTTTCCTCGCGATGTTCATTAGCGATATTTAACTTTCCACGTCACATATGGCTCTTACGTCTATTAAGCACACACTGAAAGGCGCTAAAGAACTGCGAACGTTAGCATTGTTCTCCCGCCTACCTCCGAGTCAATTTTCAAAAATTAACACATTTGAATGATTTTTGATATCTATATAGATATTTTTATGAATTTTCATAAAACATTACTTCTTTGGGAAAACGAAGAGAGATAACTCTATAATGTTGGTAATAGTTGTGTTTTTCACTATAGAAATCAACGGAAAACGGAAAATATTTTTAAAATACCCCCCCCCCCCCGTGAAACAAAACAAAAAAAAAATCCTTTTAACAGTTTATATGGACTGTCATTTCACAAATTCATACCAAAGCTTTTAGTGTCTCACGGGGGAGGGGCGGGGGCATATGTTAACAGACAAAAACTACAAAATTGCTTATTTTTTCCACAAATTTCAAAGGGGTTTACTACTAAAACATTGTACTTTATTAATAACATATGTGTAATTTTATATGAGTAAAACATAAAAAAAGATTTAAGGAACATTTATTCATATCCAAGAATATTTTAAAATGTGGGGATGTTTTAAAGCCCGATTCCAATGAAAAAAATATCGTCTACACCCTTATTTAAAGAGCTGGAATTAGGGGTAATTAATTATTTAACACTGGTATTAAAATTATCAGTCAATTACCATTGAACTGTTCTTTGCATTCAACAAAGATTTTACGGCCAAATTGCCATTAGTATAGAATTAAATGGATGTAAAATGTAGGCGGGAATCGAGAGATAGCGTTCGTAGTTCTTCATAATAAAGATTAACAAAATTAACAATTGTGACTGATTGATTGATTGTATGTCGTTTTACGTCCAGTTCGAGAATTTTTCTCATATAGAAAAGGCGCCTTATACCGGTGAAGGGTTTCAAATTTAGACCTTTATTGGGCACTCAGGGCCATTGAGCAGTGAGGGTTCTTTATCGTGCCAACGCCTGCCGTGACACGGGGACTCGGTTTTTAAGGTCTCATCTGAATGACCCGCAACTTTCACTTCAAAGTGCCGAGCGCTTGGAGAAGGAACAATTGCTACCTATTTCTTATCGACTTAGGTCAGTCGCGGCCGTGATTCGAACACACGACTTTCCGAACAAGTAACAATGAAGAATGTAAATATAAGCACTAACGTGCGGTTTGATAACTTGTCTGCATGAACAGGTGCTGTTATAGGACCGACGACATCCAAAAATAAAATTTCAATGATTTAATACTTGGGCGCGACAAAAATTTCTACAGTGTTTGCTTCTGCCAAAAAAAAGTTACCAAATAATATCAATTGCACAGGTCATTGCGAAAAAGTGAAATAGCACAAATGCACGTTCATTAAAATAAAAC